TTTTTTTTTTTCGCAAAATGTTCGCAACTGATTTCGTCAATTTGCGTAATAGCTGTGTCTCTAGTGATTTTTCGAGATGTTTGTCGAAATAGATTCCGGAACTTTGAGGTTAATTTACTCTCTTCAACATGAATGGTTGCCGATAAAAAGAAAAAAAAAAAAGAAATACGTGTCAAATATTTTTTCCGAAAATTACGTTTCAAGTCAAAATTTCATCAAAATTGACACTTTGAGTAAAACAATATTGTTGATCCTCGTGCGAGATCGTCACTCGCAATCCCGGTTCTGTCAATTTTCTCGTTTTCCCTTTCCAATTCTCGCATCTCGGCGACTCGTAAGAAGATGAGATTTTCCGAATCATTTTTTTTTTTATCCGCGTGATATCGATCGTGCGTTCGCGCTCTCACAGAGGAGAATTCCACGGCGAACGAGCGCTGCGCGTACCGTTGGCGTGGTGCGCGATAACCGGTAATAGCCTGGACGGTAACAGTAACAGTGTAACTGACCTACAGACTGCTCCACACCTGGATGCACCTGGAAAGCCGCGAGAACGCCGGCGCGTGCGCTCGACGACCTTTCTTCCGCGTGCTGTTCCGTCATTCCATTCCGATCATTCTGCCTCATCTCCCCGAGGAGCTAAATTATCCCGATGGCAACAACTTTCGTGTCCCCTCTCTAACGAGACGAATATCTATCGTTTGTAACGAAACGAACTTTCGTCAAACGACAGACGATCGGTTAACGAACCACGAGCACGAATTAACCCTTTGGCTACTGTTTGCTTTAACTAAAATTACAGAATTTTTCACAATGAAATTCTTCCTAAGAGGAATTATAAAATTTCGAAAGAAAAGATCCTCGAGGATAGAGGCAGTCCTTGATACTCATTATTATTCGAATAATTCGTGGAATAATTCATACAAATTAAACCTCTTGTTGCTTCTCACGAAAGTGAGATTTACAAAATGGCGGAGGAAATTTCTCAAGCGATTGAAATTATGTATCGTTAACATGGTGATCGCTCTAAACGAATTCATTAGAGAAATGTAATTAACAAAGTTTGATGATAAATGCTATCTAAATTATTTCCAATGCTGTGCTCATTTCATTTGAAGTGATGCTTCACTATTTTGTAAATAAGTTGCTGATAAATGATACAAAAGGTACTGTTGGCGCCTATGGCGCCTAGGCGCTCACTTCACGTTGCTCGAATCGAACTATTACAAAATGGCGGAGGAAATTTTTCAGGCGATTGAAATTATGTATCGTTAACATGGTGATCGCTCT